AATTCAAAGAATAACTAATGAAGGTGGATAATTTAGATTGTTCCTTAAGATTTTTGGTGAAGATCATTTCAGTTAAAGTGGTAGGAAACTGATGGCTCTAAAACAGAAAACTATATATGACTACAGAAGTTTGAAGGTGACTTTCCGTGTCTATAGCAGGATTCACATGCATCAATAGCTTGTATTTGAACGCATACAGTGATTAACTTGTAGAAATTTATACCCAGTAACATCTCTCTCTGCTTTTTCAAAATCTACATGTAACATAGAGGAAAGGTCTGCATCTCTGCTGACTTGTCTCAGTTCTGCACTTTTGCTGTATATACTCGGGTAGTGCTGAAGATAAGATTTGAAATACTTCATTACAATAGAACTATGCTTGTTGTTAAATTGCTAATCAGCAACTTGGAAGTTTAGACCTTGCTGTTGGATAAGACATATGCAGATACCTGCATTGACAAGGTGAAAACAACCCAGGTGGGCAGACGTAATTTGCTTAATAAAGCTTGTTCAGCACTTTCGGACTGGGAAGTAGAAAGCACTTCCAAGTCATTCTTTATATGGGGTTTACAAATACACATCTCCTAGTACAGCATGAAGGATTAAAGCTGTATAACTGTCCAAAAAAAAGTTTCCTTCCTTCTGTTCTTCCAGTTATTGGTAAAAGTGGACAACACTGTTGTATTCGGAAATGATTTTGCAGCATTCTTATCCCATACAGCATCTGTGATGCAAAAAAAATATTAATTTGTTTTATTGAAATTTTTTTTTCTTTGTTTCTGCTAACTGTAATTCTGTGGAATTAGTAAGACTAATAGAAATTGTTTTGTAACAGTTGAAAGTAGTCTGAGTACTACAGCAAAGCCCACAGACCTTTCAAGGCTGGCTTCAAGGTCAGCTGGTGACAACACAGAGAGTAATGGACAGCTGAGACATCTGTCCTTACCAGGAATTTCCAGCATTGAAGGTATGCCCTTTCTAGGCTGACCTTTTCTTTTTCTGAATATTTCACGTAAATGTTTAGGAGATGAGAAGTATAGCTGGAATTATGGTAGTGTGTCTGGGTGTTCTGGGAGAAGTGACGTCAACTTTAAAAGCTTGAGAACTACAGACTTTTTAAAAAAAGTAAACTGAAAAAAACTAAAAGACTAGCAGGTAAAAGAAAAGAAACTGTGATTTAAACAGGAGTGTGCATTATAAGTGACTTGTAATCGTTTTGAGTGCCAAAGTATTACACCAAGTGCCCCAGAGGTTGAGAGAGCTCTAAGTAAAGGGCAGAATTAGGGTGCTGAAGGAAAATGAAGTAGGCATGAGTGTGCATGTTTTGGTTTTTTTTCTTTTCTTTTTTTTTTTTTTTTAAGAGATTGCTGCCTGGTCAAATGAATGGTTGCTGGATCTTGCTGTTCAGTCTCTTCAGCTACTGAAAGGGCAGTGCTTTGCATCAGGAAATGAATAGACACTTTTCCCTTTATATCATCTGTGCTGTTGGTATAGCAACAGTCGTTCAGAGCTTGCTTTTGTGGAGGATAACTTCATCTGTATGCAGTTAGTGGTTGTAGAATGGGCTATTAGTTGTGGCCAGAAATAAGGATTATTTTTTTCATATTTAATGTAAGTTAATCCAGACATGTTCATACTTTTTTTCCTAAACTGTTACTGACAGCTTGCGACAACGCAGAAGGCAAGCTACCTACTTGGGTCTGCTTTACTTAATTACTGGGTAGTAAGACATAGTGCAGTAAAACTGGAAGAGCAGCTTATAAAATATTTCTGTGTACTTGAAGGAGCTACTTTTAAATCCTTTTCTCTTTGCAGATCTTCAGAATTTGTTTGAAAAAGCAGTTGAAGATGCTGATGGAAAACTATCAAATGAAGGTCTTCAAAAGCTGCTTGGCTCTACAGCCCAAGAGTCACAGAGCTTTAAGAAATTTGACACAGATGGAGATGAGAAATACTCATTACAAGAACTGAGATTAGCTTTAGGTGTATAGGATATGTATTTAGAAATGTGGTATTGATGGGCGCTACTGTTGCTAAAGGAAACTACAGGACATGAGAAATTACGTCTGCACTTTCCCAGTGTTTTACTGATCTTTGGAGCTAAGTTACTGTACACATTGCCACCTCTTTTTTTGTTTGCATTTATTGAAAAGAAATTTACAAATTTATATGTCGATAGGACATAATATTGGGACTGTGCTAAAATACAGAAAATTCCCAAACTTGAAAATATTTTCCTCTTATTCTTTCATTTTCAAGGGAGTTCTTGTTTTTAATTTAAAATGTGTACATACTAAAATAAAACTATGTTTTTATATTTCACTGAAATTTGCCTTAAATTAGAGAGCTGCACTTTATGTAGAGCAGAAAGAAATCTGTCTTGCAAAGATGGGCTTCTTCTGCTTGTAAATATTTGAGATAGAGTAAATTATGCATATTTAAGGGGAAGTTTATGTCTGGGGCTGTGTTGGTAGTAAGCTGTTTATGATGAGAGACTAAGGGGCAGTTACGAGCTTCAGCTAAATTTCTAATTTTGATTAAGAATATCCATGAATGAGTTTGTACTCAGTCAGAGGAAAGCAGGAGTGATAAATCACACCCAATTATAGCAGGATTTATTTTTAGAGGGAAGAGTTGAAAGTGTTTTTATATCATGAGCCTACAGGAGCAATTACCTACCAAGCGCTTGGGTTTTAACTTCAGCATTCTTTTAGCTTTGCTGTATTGCATCCAGATTATTTTGCGAGATGAGCCGATCTATTTTAAAAAGAGAAAGCTATTGAAGAACTTCAATAGATGCTTTAAGAGGGACAAGTCTACAGTGCTGCCTGCTGAGTAGCACCTGAATAGTTCATGCCTTGGGTATGATCAGTGCTCATTGTCTTGCTGACGGGTCACTGGAGATCTTTTGAACAGGGTTGCTGGTGCTGCTGGTTTCTTCCATCCAGTGTTGTTGGGGGTCACTCTGATGAAGTGCCCCACGTAAAGCTCCTGGTCACCAGGAGTGTGAGCAGGTGGGGAAGGCCCGGAGTAGACTTGTGGGCTGCTTCCTGACTAATGTGAACACGATCACTTCTTGGTATCTTGCCAACAGAAGCATGTAAAAAGCAGGATAGGAGCGTGCAATCGCATCGGTGTTCTCTACTGACTCCTGCTTTGTAAGTGAGGTTTCCTTACTATAGAGGAGCTTAAGGGTTTGTTTATACAGGTGGGTCTAAACACAGAGCATTTCTGGAACACAGAAAATGACTTTTGCAGAAAAGATTCTCTTGCAGGCTAGATCAGGGCCAAGTCGGATGGTTTTGCTCACAAATACCACTGATCTTGTTGGGAGCTTTTTTCCTTGATTAGTGATTTGAAGTTGCCCACCTCACTGAAATATCAGTTTATGTGGAAGTCGGTTTATGATTGTTGACTTTTATATAACTTTAGACTGGATGTTTTATGAATAATTGTATCCTGGAGCGTGAATCAGTGAAGGAATGTACAAAATGGAACCCTGTTACCCATTGCCTAGGCTTCTTTCACTGTTGCTCTTCTATCCTGTTTGGGTAATGCAGACGTGACCCAATATGGAGATGCTTTTGATGTGATGTTTGAAAATACAGTATTTAAAAACAAAACAAAACCAACCAAACTTGGCTTTTGAGAGGACAAGAAGCCAACCCTTGCTTCTTGCCACTTCCCACTCCCTTTTATACACTACTGTATAATTCCTTAACCAAATAAAAGAACCTAGCAATAAAATGTAACCATTCTGGTATTTTATTTGTACATACTGTATCATAGCCATATGCCAGAGTTTGCAAAATATTTTTGGAAGTTTGATTTGTACGGAATTTAACTTACCTTAAAATTTAAGGGATTATTGTATTGCCATGTGAATCTATTAGTGTTTTGTTTTGTTGCAGTCCGCTTTACTTTTAGAAGGCTTTTCAACAGCAATAGTGGAACTGTCAGCTTGAGACAGCGTGTGCCGCTCCAGCCGCCTGCGGCCAAGGAGCCGAGCTGGTCCGCAATTGGCCCTGGGGCACAGCTGTCCAGGGGTGCTGCTTAATGTGCATGCCAAGAGCATAGTGGATCGCTAATTCCTGTAGTCACTGCTGTTGTAGGATGGACCCGTGCTACCAATTTAACAAAATCCGATCATCCCCGAGTACAGTGGTCGCTTTTGTTTGGCCTAGGGTAGCGGGTAGTGCTGTGCTGCAGGCTGGCAGCACCCCTCCCCAGCCAGCCGCTCCCATCTCTGCAAGTTTGCTGCTACGCTGCTGGTCTCCGTCTTGCATGCTTTCCAAAGCCACGGTGCTGGGTGTTGGCAGGCTTCCTCCCCCGTGTTTTATTCACGCTGCAGAGGGCATAAAAGCCACGGGCGCAGTAAGTACGCTTGCCTGGATCCGCTCTCTGCCGTAGCCCCTGCCTGCAGAGCGCGGGTTTCCCCAGGGGCAGCCGGCCCGAGGGGCTCCTAGAGAAAAAAAGTGATGTCTGAAATTAAATTAAACGGTGAGAGCTGACAGGTCTGCGAGCGGCAGCTGGGGCCGTAGCTGAGACTTGCTGTTACGCTGTGATTCTTGGGTTCATTTTCAGGTTTTTTGGGTGACCGCTGTGTAGGGACCACTGTGTATCTTTCCCTTCAGTTACTGACCTATACAAGGAGCGGAGGCGCGCCGTGCTGGGCGTGCCTGGCGCTTCCTCTGCTCCGCGGGGTTTGAGCTACGGCACTCCACGCCTTTTGCCATGTAACGCCACTTTTAATTTATCTAAATAAAAGTTCATTTTCAGTGTGCGTCTCCGGTGGTTTCATTCCGGCGGCGGAACGGCGGGGGGGGGGCGGCGCGGCGGGCGGAGCGCTGCGGCGGACGGACCGGGCCGGACCGGGCGCTATGGCGGGGCCGCTGGTGCAGGCCTGGG